CGTGCTGGCAAGCCGCACGCGCCGCTGCCGGTGCTCAAGGCGGGGGCGCCCAAGCCCGCGGCGCGGCGGCCGGCGGGCGCCAAGAAGGAGTCTGGCCTGGTGCGGCAGGCCAGGAGGGCGGCCAAGGACTACAGCGTGGTGATGGCGGTGGGCGCGGTGGCCCTGCTTGCGCTGGCGCTCTTTGCCCTTGTGTGGACCAGCAGGTCGGTGGCGCCGCAGTGAGCGCGGCGCAGGCACGCCGCCCAGCTTGGCGCTCCACCGTTTTGACGCGCCGTGGGCGCCTGCCGGGTCCCCGCTTGCCCTTTTTGTGTACTTCCTTCTGAACTCACCAGACGAAGCTGTAAGGTAGCAGCCCAGCAGGATTTGAACCGTGCTAGAGGGGGCAAGGCGGGCACGCCTGTGCTGACGTGGCCCGGGCCGGGCCAGCCCGCCATGTATGCCACAGGCTGGGGAGGGCGCTAGTGGCGACAATCACCTGCTGCCTATCTGCGCAGCAGCAGCTGCGGAACCCCGCTGCTGCGCAGCGCCTGGCCTTTGCCCTCTCGCTCTGCTTTTGAACCGTGGGATCAGACTCCGTGTTCCTGGCGCAGCTAGAAGCACTGTGGGGGCTGTCCCAGGCACGGGCTGGCACGGGGGCTGAGGTGCAGAGCCTCCCACACACCTCATGGCGACCCTGCAGAGCAGCGCGGCTTTGGCCCCCAGCTGCATAGTTCCGGTGCCCCGGAGATGGCAGCGTGCGATTGAGCGGCAGCAGCGGCGCCAACCGGGCGCGCGGCCTCCCGCCGCCGGCAGCGGGCTGGGAGGCGGCGGCGGCGACGACCTCGCGTCCCCCCAAATCCTGGACATGGCGGCCTCCAACTTCGCCAAGGGTGAGGGCCCAGCTGCTTGGCGAGGAGAGAGCAGCAGCTGGGGCATGAGCCAGGGGTTCAACGGCAGCCGTGCATCGTCTGTGTGGGACTTTCTCGCCGTGTGGTGGTTTTCAGAAGGGGGTGGCCACCAGTCTCCTGGCCACCAGTCTCCTGGCCACGTGGGCCTGACCAGTCAGCCACACCGGCACGGTCGGGATGAGCGCTGAGGCATCCCTCCCCCTGCCTTGGCCTGCACGGAGCGCAGGGGTGATGGCTGGCGCGGACAAGGACGAGCTTGTGGCGCAGCAGCTGGGTGCTGGCAGCGCGTCGGAGATGAGCGAGGTACACTCGCAGTACAAGGACGCCATCAAGCGCAAGCTGGAAGAGGCAAGCAGGCCCTGCGGCGGCTACGGCGGCGGCGCCTGCAGCGGAGGGGCCGGGCAGCGGGGTGATTGATTGTGGGCCGGTCGCCCTGTCCCCTCGTGGCTCAAACCGTCGAGCGCAACCTGCCCTCTGCGCTCCTCGCCTCTGTCCCCTGCCCTGACCACCCAATCACCGCTCCCACCGCACCCTCCCGCCTCCTGCAGCGCGCCGAGGAGCTGCGGCGGGAGAAGGAGGCGCGCGCCGTCAAGTTCTCTGCGGGCAAGCTGGCGTACGAGCGAGGCAACTACCCCGCCTCCTCCCGCTTCCTGGAGCAGGCGCTGGATGAGGAGGGGGAGTTCACGCAGCTGGGGGGGGAGATCCAGCTGTGGCTGGCCCTCGCCTACCAGGTGCGCGCCTGCGGGGTGTGTGCGCATGGCCTGGCGGTGGCGCGCAGCCTGGCATCAGCAGCCGGGCACCTCCGACCGCTGCCTGCCAGTCTCTCCTCGCCGCCTGTCTTCCATCCCTCATGCCCTGCTGCTGCTCCCGCGCAGGCGTGCGGGCGCGAGGAGGCCTGCCTGTCCATCTACCGCTCCCTGGAGAAGACGCACCCGCTGCCCGCCATCCGGCGCCAGGCGTGCGACCTGCGGTACATCATGGAGGCGCCCAAGCTGCAGATCAACCCGGATGAGCGGGTGCAGATACCGGTGCTGACAGACCTGGACGTCAACAGGTGGGTGGGTGGGTGGGATGTGTGGGTGGTGGGGTGATGTGTGCGTGTTTGGGGGATGTGTCGTCGTTTGTGCTGGGCGGCGTGTTTGGTGATGTGTTCCCAAACCAGCTGTTTGGGAGGGTGGGGGTGCCAATGCTGGAGCAGGCGGGCATGCACATGTTCTTGGCGCCAGCTGCCCTGCCGACCTGCCAGCGCGTGCGCCGTGCAGGGGCAACCGCGCGCCCGTGGCGCGGCCGCGGCCGCCGCAGAAGCGCTCCGTGCCCAAGACTTGGGACGAGGGTGGGCATGCCGCGTGCCGCGCCGCAGCAGCTGCCTGCCTGCCTGGCCTTGCGTGCGCCTCGCTCCCTCGCCGGCCTCCTGCCGCCTCCTCCTGATCAGCCCCTGCCCTGCCCCGCGCGTGTGCCCCTGCAGAGTTCTGGGACAACTACCAGGGGCCCGGCGGGGTGGTGCAGAACCGCTACGTGTGGGCTGCAGCCTCCATCGCGGCCACCGCTGCAGCGGTGTACAGCAGCTATGTGCAGCGGGGGCTCCTGCGCTGAGCCAGGGGCCAGGTCCCGGGACCTCCTTGGCGGCGTTTCCTGCCCTGGCGCCACCCCCGCCCCGCCATGCGCCGAAGGCACCATCCACCTGTACCAGCATACCTGCACACCAGCCTGTCTGCAGCCCTGTGCCACTTGAGTTCTCCTCCTTGTCTGCTGCCGTGCACCCTCAGGCGCAGCGCGCGTGGGCGTGGGGCGCAAGCCTATCCAAATGGCCAGTGTCGCCTGCCTCTCCACACCGTCAGCCCTCCATGCTCGGCGCATCATTGTTTGTTTGCCCCCTTCTTTCGTTGAGTTCTTCTGGCAGCTTGTTTGCCCCTCGGTGGCTCGTCACTGGCCTTTTCCCTGCCTTCCTCCCTCCCTCCCTCCCTCCCTCCCTCTCCTGCCTCTGCCAATTTCATATCATTGTACCAATCCTAGATGAGACAAATTCGTTGCATGGGAATCTGATCGGATGTCTGTAATACCCGCTGGGAAACTGGGGTCGGGGGACGCCCCGCTGTCGGCCCCCCCTCGCCCTGCAAGCGCCCCCCGCCGCCTCCTGGAGCCCCTCTGGACCGCTGGGACGCGCGTTCCGCGGCGTTCCGCGTGTGCGGGCGGCCCGGCGAGCGAGGCCAATTCCCATTCCCCGCCCCCGCGCCTGCGGCTCGCCGGCGCGCTCACTGGCTTCGATCGAGGTGCGGGCCGGCGCCGGGGAGGGCTTGCAGCGCGGGATGGGTGCCCAATCGCCCAATCGCGCAGCTCCCTGCCTGCCACGCTGTCGGTCAGCTCCAGCCGGCCCTTTCCACGGGCGCCGCCGCCCGGGGAGGCTTCTTGAAGGCCTGGGCGGCCGCGCGGCGTGCTGCGGGCGTGGCTCTGCGGCAGCGGCGCCTGCTGCCGCTGCGGCAGCGGCCGCCGCCCTGCAGCGTGGCCTGCTGCAGCCTGGCCTGCTTGCTTCCTGGCTTCCTGGCCCATCCTGGGCTTCCCACAATGCCACCAGCCTGTGATCCCCAGTCCTGCCACCCTGCAATCCTGCCTGCAGGCATGGCATCTTGCCCCGGCGGCGTGGCGGTGTCAGAATGCGCGGCGCTGGGGGCCTGATTGAGGGCCCTGCCGCCCGCGGCGCTCCCGACGGGTGAGCTTCATAGGCAGCAGCAGCAGGCAGCTGTGAATGTGTGGCCCTTAGCCCTAGGCTGCCCTGCCGAGGCCCAACACTTTGAAGCATGCGCATGCGTGCTGGCGCATCCGTGCTAGCGGATGCAGCTGCTCAATCCCTGCCTGCGTTACAGCTGCTGTTCTCACCTGCTTGCCATGCCCACCCTCCATCCACCCCTACCTAGCTGCAGGCCTCAGCAGCAGCCTGCTGTGGAGGAGGCTGGGGAGGCTGGGGAGGCTGGGCCTCCAGCTCCCCTCGACCCTCCCTTCCCGCCGCCCTACGCCCACATGCCAGCGGCGTTGCAGCAAGCTGTGGCTTGTGTGCAGCAGCAGGCCCACCTGCCTTGTGGCCACTGTGCAAACCCTCCTGCGGCTCATCGAGAGTGGCATTCCCCCCAGCCACAACCACTGCATTGTGCTGCTGGGGGACGCCCACCCGTACACATGGCAGGGCTTTGGCGGCGCCGACCAGCAGGATGCAGTGGCTGCGGTGGTGCAACGGCTGCTGCAGCTGTTGCCCCACCTCTGCGTGTACGAGGGCCTGGAGCAGGTCATTGCAGCTGCAGAGTGAGCATGTGGCCACCGTGGTATTTGCACACTCCTGCGCATGCATGCTGCTGGTGATTGTGCCCCCTCCTGCAGCCCCCTCCCACAAACCTCACCCTCCCCCTGCCTCCCATCCCTGAGCCTGCAGGTTTGGTGCACACGTGCTTCCTCCCCGTGCCCTGGTTGACCCCCCTCCCCCACCCCCTGGCTGGGAGGAGTCCGCGGCGATGCACGCTGCCTACGTGCGGCAGCAGCAGCAGCAGCAGCAGCAGCAGCAGCAGCAGCAGCAGGAGCAGGATGGGGATGATGGCGATAGCTTCTTTAGCAGCGATGCGGATGATGAGGGTCCTATTGACTTGATTACCCCGGCCGCCTCACCCTGATCTGTCTGCTCCCCTCCCCCTCCCTTCCCTGTGTGCTGCCTTACCGTGCCACATCTCCTCGTGAGTTTCACTGTGCTGTCTCATTTGCATGCTGTAGCAGGACTACAATTGCATCAATGTTGGAAGCAGTGGGAGCAGGAGCTGAAGGGAGCAGTGGGGGCAGGCAGCAGGCAGCAGTGGGAGCAGGGGAGCAGGAAGCAGTGGGAGCAGGAGCTGAAGGGAGCACTGGGGGTAGGAAGCAGTGGGAGCGGGAGCCCCGGGGCCACAACTGAGATTGGTGGCAACTGTGAATGGTGTAATCAGGCACACGGTCAGCCATTGGGCGCGGGCTTTGCCGGAAGCCCCAGCAGCTCGCGCACCGCCGCCTCGTTCTCCTTGCGGCCCAGGCTGGCAAAGTTCTTCTTCTTCTTGCCCTCCTGCGCGCATGGTAGGGCATTGCAACGGTGAACACGAGCAACCAATTGGAGTGTTGGAGCCCTCTCAGGCCCCTACCGCCGCCACCGCCGCTGCCGCCGCCTGTTGCTGTCACTCCTGCGCCCATGGCGCACCCCCCGAACCCCCAGGTTCCCACCTGCTGCGCCAGGCGCTGGTCCACCAGCCTGGCAGCATCCATGTTTGAGCAGCCCTCCTGGCGTGCCAGCTCCTCCACCAGTGCCATTGCGTTGACGACCAGGTGCCAGATCTTGCGCACCGCCGCGCCTGGGCGCCAGGTGTGCCGGGTGGGCAGCCGGCCCAGCCGCTGTGCCTCCCGCTGCTCGTCCTCCCGGTCCTTCCACGCCGGGCCTTGCACGCCCTCGTAGTAGTGCCGCGCAGCCTGCGCCGCACAGAGTAGTTGTAGTGGGGCACGGGCGGTGGGTGCTTGGATCGCACACAAGGGGACAGGCCACAGTCAGGGGGCAACCGTGGGCGCACAGGGGCTGGGCAGCACACAAGGGGACATGCCACAGTCAGGGGGCAACCGTGGGCGCAGGTAAGCACGTGCGACTATAATGCGACTACACATGCACACAACCCAGTTCACTCACCCACTCGGTGTTGAGCAAGGCGGACAGGCTGCTGGGGATGTTGCAGGGGACGCCATGCCAGCGGCTCCGCCAACCACCCTCTGCTGAGCTGTCTGCTGCTGGTGCTGCTGCGCTGGGGGCGGCGGCAGAGCCCGCGGCAGGGGCATAGCCGAGCTCAAACACACCAACTGTGGTGGCGTCCAGGCTCACGCTTGGGTCGGCAGCGGCCGCTACAATAGTACGGCGGCGGCTTGGGGGGCCGTGCAAGCTGACTTCCGAGGAGAGCAGATGGACGGCAGTGGTCAGTTCATGCTGCTGCGCCAGCTGCTGCTGCTGCTGCTGCACCAGCTGCCGCAGCAGCGAGAGGGGCACGGTCACCTGCCCATCCTCACTGGCTGCCAGCACAGACGCGTCTGCTTCCAGCAACGCAGCTGCCGCTGCCGATGGTGCCGGCTGCGCTGCTGATGGTGCCGGCTGCGCTGCCGGCGCCGGCGCTGCTGCTGGCATCGGCGCCGCTGCAGCAGCGTCATCCCCAACTGCCACCTCAGCCAGCTGCATGAGCAGCTCCTCGCTGGCTGTCTCCTCGTGGCGGCCGCACTCCTCTGCAACCGTCCACGTGTGGTCGCGGGCTGCTGCTATGCCGCGCCGTGCAGCGGCCTGCCACTGGCTCATTTCGGCCATGCGCTGCCGCGCGGCCTCCATGCTGGACGGGCGCCGCCGGCCCAGCACCGCCGCACTAGCGCGCAGGTCCTCTTGCGCGGCCAGGGGGGGCGTGGGGCGGTGTAGAAGCAAGGCGGAGGATCACAGGCCCGCCAGAGGATCACAGGCCTGCCAGAGCCCATGTGCAAGCACAGGCGCTGTCAACAGCCAGCAGGAGTTGTTAACAGCCAGGCAGGTACCTGTGGAAGGGCGCCCGGGAGGGCGCGGGGCTCCTGTGACGTTCCCTAGTTTAGTGCGAGCTGGCCCAGGCCCGCGGAGGGCCGCGCGGCGGTGCAGGCAGGCAGTTATAGTTGAGAAGTGTTGCCAGGAGGCCCTGGAGCGCGCCCCGGCGCTTCGCCCAACTCGCCCCGGAAATCTTGAACCAGATAACCGTTTGCGAGGACGCACCGTGCGTCATCGCGTAGGCGTTCCGCCACCTGGCACGCGTCATCGCACCCCTGGATTTCCTTTAGGAAAAGTGGGCGGGGCTGCGCCAACAGCGCCGCAACTAGATGTCGGCGTGGCTGCGTGGCACTCTGTGCACTGAGCCCGACACCCTGCGCCGCTATAGGAAGGCGCTGATTTTGTCGATGTTTCATGGTTCCAGGCTTCCATGCAATAGATGTTACATGGGCTGCTATTCGTCACAGCGGCGTCGCCGTGTGCGGCACCTGCTTAGCCCGCTGCCGCGGCGGTGACTCGACACTGCGCCACCCTCACTCCTGGCCTTATTCCGCGTTGTATCACGGGATTTTCACACCGTCCCTGGAGGAGTCGCCTGTGAAGGGTTGCTTCGGAGGGCGCCAGGTTGCATAACCTGCTGTGACCAGTCTCACAGAGTGCCCAGTTTGTTGAGCCCGCAGCTCCCGTCGGCCTGCAGTTGCTCTGTGTATCGCGTGGGACGCCGCCACACGCCTGCGACTGGAGCGGGGCACAGCGCCGCCACCTCCCGGCGGCGGCGGCGCCCGCCTGCCTTGAAAAATGGCGCACATTCTGAGAGGATATGGGCTGGCTCGCGAGCAGGCGCACTTCAAGCTGGAGCAGGTGGGTTGCACGGGGGCTGGGGGTTGCGACTGGCAGGGCTGCACCCTGGCCAGGGCTGCCTGCGCCGGCTGCCTGCACCGCTGCCGGGGCACGTGCCTTGCGCCTCCTCACCTCTCCTCTGCCAGCTGACTGTACCGCAGGAAGCGGATGTGCAGCGCCACCACCAGCGGCTGGTCAAGGAAGGCAAGCTTCCCGAGGAGGAGGCCAAGCGGGCGGCGGCGGCCGCGGCGCGGGAGCAGGCTGGCCGGCCGTTTGAGCACAGCGAGCACAACTACGAGGCGAGGCACGGGAGGGCGGTGCAGGCTCCCCGCTGCCTTGCCTTCCCTTGCCCCCCGTCCCTGTCGCGGGCCCGCGCGCCGTGCTTTGGTCGCGCCTTGCCCGCCGACGATGCTGGCCGCGGCCCGGCTGCGTGGCCCCCCTGCAGATGTTGGCAGAGGTGCTGCAGCAGCAGGCGCGGGTGGACGACCCGCACGCCCTGCGCCGCAAGCAGTTTGAGCGGCGCGTCAAGGGGGAGCCGCCGCCGCTGTCGGAGGTGGAGCTGCAGCGTGCCAGGTGGCGCGCCGCCGCACGCCGCCGCCGCCGCAGGCCAGGCGCCCGCCCCGCGCCGCTTGCTGGCGCAGCAAGGGGTCTGTGAGCCGCGCGCCACCCGGGCACTGAGCCGGCGGCGGCGGCGAGGGGAAGGAGACCACGCCTGCGTGCAGCTGCCAGCCGGCGCCTCATATCCCTCCTTGCCCGCCTGCGTGGCGCAGGGGCAAGCTGATGGCTCTGGGGGCGGCGGTGGGGCACGTGCCGCGCATGTCGATGGGACGCACCCGCTGGGAACTGCCTGCCGCGGGGGCGGGGGGCGGCGACGCCGCGCTGGCGACCATCCGCCAGCTGAGCCCCGAGGCGAGAGAGGTGGCCTCGCGCACCTATGTGGCGGGTGCGGGCACCGGCCCCCTGCGCCTGCCTGCCTGCTTGCCTGCCGCCTGCGGGTCCCTGCCCGCCAGCCAGCCTGCCCTCTCCCAGCCCGACCGCCCGCTGCCCGGCATGCAACGCATGTGGGAGCAGCACCACCGAGCGGTCACCTCCTCCCCATCCTCCTCCCCCGCTGCTTACGCGTGCCCCTCCTCCCCCTCCCCCTGCACCGCGCCCTCCCCCGCCTGCCAGGCGTGCGAGCGCTGGTGTACGGCACCCTGCTGGGCGCGGTGGGGCTGGCGGCTGCGGGCACCTACGCAGTGCGCTCCCTGGGCATCGCCTCTGGGGAGGAGCTGGGAGAGCGAGTGCGCGCAGGGCTGGCGCCCGTCCCCCGAGGCATGCGCGCCTGGCTGCTGCCGCTCAAGCAGCGGGCAGAGGCGTGGCTGGGCCCGGAGGCTGCCGCGCCTGTTGTGCCGGGCATCGGCGGCGGCGGCGGCGGGGGTGCGGAGGTGGAGGCCGGGGCGGCGGCGGCGGCAGGAGGAGGGGCGGGGCTGGCGGGCGAGGGTGGGGCTGGCGGGGGGCCCACCTCGGAGCTGTCCCGCCGCCTGCAGCAGCGCTTCAACACGCGCAGGGCTGCGGGGGAGGGAGGTGGCGGCGGCGACGCCGGCCGGGCCGTCTTCTGAGCGGCGCCGCCCCCACGTGTCTGCCCTCACCCATGCCTGCCTGGCGCCCACCTTGTCAGCGCCAGGCCAGCAGCTGCAGGACCTCCGGTGCATTACCCTCCTGCTGCCTGCTGGCTGTACTACCTGCCAGCGAACCTGTATGCCTCTGCCTCTGCCTCTCCTTGCCCTGTACCCGCTTCCCCTGCCCCTCGCTGCCTGCACCAACTCCCCTGTCCTTGCCAGTGCCGTCATGCATGTAGCCTGGTGCGCCTGTCTATGCATGTAGCTTATGTAATGCAATGAGGGGTGTGAGCATGGAACAGGGCAAGGGGCGGAGGAGCGCTTCATGGGGGGGGAGTAGCAGCAGCAAGGGGAGATGGCTGGGGTGGTATGGGCTGGTGGGCTGCCGGCGGAAAGGCTCCCTCGAGAAGCACCGCGCCTCACAGCAGCAGAAGGGGCAGGGCGGCGCAGGCCAGCATGGCCAGGGCCGGCAGCCCCGCCTGCGCCGCCGCGCCGCTGGCGCCCGCGCCGCTGGCGTCGACCTGGGCGCCGCCCTCCACCACCTCTTGCTCCTCCTCCTCGCCCGCGGGGTCCGGCACGCCCAGCGTGGGGGCCTCCTCATCCAGCTGTGCGTAGATGCAGAGGGAGTTGGAGGCGAGGGTGTTCAGGCAGTTGCGCACGGCGGCGGCGTCACCGCCGACCAGGGCGGGAGCGTAGGGATAGATGCCGATGGGGCTCTCCGCCACCGCCCACCGCAGCTCGCCGGTGGCGGAATCCAGCACCTGCCGGGGCGGAGGGGTGGGCAGCAGGGCAGCGGGGGCAGGGCTCAGTCGCCGCCTGTGAGCTGGGCGGGGGCAGCGGGGCAGGCTACGCACAGTCAGTCAAGTGAGCAGCCGGCTGGCTGGAGGGGACACGGCAGGGGCCGAGGTGCGATGAGCATGCACAGGCGGGTGAGCAGGCTGCATGGCAGGTGGCACCGCATGGCCCATGGCGGCGGCTGGCGCCTGCCGCTGCTCGCCTGCAGGCCGGCGGGCGTGACCACGGCCACGGCGCCGGGGGCGGCGGCCGGCGCCGACACGGGCTTCAGCTGCAGGCTCCACACCTGCAGCCCCGTGCTGATGGAGCGAGCCTTGAGCCTGCAGCCATGCAGGCAGGCAGCCAGCACAGCACACATGAGACACGCGCGCTCAGCGCCGCCCCTGGGCCTTCGCTGTCGGGGGCAGCGCCGCCCTGCTCACCCCTCTTTCCATCCATCCATCCATCCATCCAGGCAGGCAGGCAGGCAGGAAGGAAGGCAGGCAGGCAGGCAGGCAGGCAGGAAGGCAGGCAGGCAGGCAGGCAGGCAGGCAGGCAGCAGTGCACATAGGGTAGCTTTCGGCGGCGGCGCTCACACAGGCCAGGAGACCAGGCCCTCTGGCGGGATGACGCCCACGCCGCCCGTCTGCACCGCCGTGTCCGAGGGCACCACCACGATCGTCACGTTGCCTGCTGCGGAGTCGCCCGGCGCCTGCGGGGGCGGCGGCGGCGCCTCCACCACCGCCAGGTCCACGCCGCCAGCCCCCTCGCTTGCCTGTGTGAGGAGCCCGTCGGTGCCGCCGGCCGCTGCCGCCCCGGGCGGCGGGCTGGCCGCGGGGATCGTGCCCGCCTGGGACAGCCGCCGCCGCCGCCGCGCGGGGGTGTCGGCGGCCGCCGCAGAGGTTGTGGCGACGGGGGTGGGGGTGCCGGCTGACGCCGTCTGCGCCTCTATCACCGCCTCCTCCGCCGCGCTGCTGCTGTTCAGCACGGGCGCGGTGAAGGGGTCGTCCTCAATCCACTGTACCGCCATGCCTGGCGGCGGCGAGGCCGAGAGCGGAGGCGAGGCGGGCGAGGGCGGCGCCGGGGGCTGGAGGGACGGGGAGGGCGGGGGCGGCGCGGCGGCCGCCACCCCGGCAGCCCAGTAGAAGAAGAGATCGTCGTACTCGGACACCGCTGGGGCCACCACGGGGGAGGCCTCGGTGACGCCGTCTGGCAGCCTGTCGCGCTGGTCGGGCGAGGCGGCGGCCCACAGCAGGCTGGGCGCCTGGGTGCCGTTGAGCTGGAGGGCCAGGTAGGAGAAGGGGCCCGTGCTGAAGTTCAGGCCCCCGGCAAACTCCCTGCACACAGGTGCGGTGCGGCAGGCAGGGCGGGCGGGCAGGCGGGCAGGCGGGCAGGAGGCAGGCGGGCTCGATGATGCGTGGCTGCCGGGGAGCTCAGCAGGCACAGCACAGCCAGTGCCACTACCTATCAGCAGCGGCAGGTGAGGCGTGAGCTTGGCTCTGCCCAGAAGGTACCCTTGTTGCCCGCCCGCCCCTGGAGGCCACCCTCGCACCCCTCCACCCCGGCAGGCAGGCAGGCAGGCAGGGCGCCGCACCTGACCAGCAGCACGTCTGCCGCCAGGTGCAGGTGGGTGACGGAGGTGGTGATGGTGGTGGAGGGCAGGCGCCCCACATCCACCTGCCACAGCAGCGCCCCCGTGGCGCTGTCCAGCGCCGTCACGATGCTGCCCGCGTCGCCGTAGATGAACAGGCCCTCGGCAGCGGCGGCGGCGCGCACGGGGGTCAGGCGGGCGGCCAGCGCAGAGGTGGACAGCGCCCAGCTGGTGGTTCCGTCGGCGGGGCTCAGCGCGATGACGGTGGAGTCGCCGCTCAGCTCGTTGCACAGCAGGTACACGGCGTCGTAGGCGTCCCTGGGGGCGGGGCGGGGGGGGGGGTGCGTGTGTGCGGCGGCGGGTGAGGGTGGTGGGGAGCCAGGCGGGCATGCCGGGGTGGGTGCCTGAGCATGCGGCCGCCGCCTCTTCCATGCCGGTCGCGCCTGCCGCTGGCGCCTTGGCCGCTCCCTTGAACTGTACATGTGCCACCGCCCTCAGTGAGGCACCCCCCCACACACACGCACCCGCGCGCCCACCTGCTGTTGACCATGCGCGGGTCGCCCAGCGAGCAGGGGCTGGTGGCGTTCCATGCGATGCTGCCGTTGCCGGGGTGCACCGCAAACACGCGCCCATCCAGCTCCAGCACCGCCAGGTCACCCGCCACAGCCACCACGCTGGGCAGGCTGCTGCCCATGGGCAGCTCCGTGGTCCACAGCAGCTGGCCCGCCGCGTCGCCCGTGGCGGCGGTGGCCACCAGCGCCCAGCTCTCGCCCTCCAGCCCGGCAAAGGCGATGATGCGGTCGTCGCCGTACGTGGCTGGCGGCGTGCTCTGGTAGCCCGGGGGGTCGGCCCAGGGCAGCACTAGCCGCCACTGTGAGAGGGAAGGGAAGGCAGCGGCAGCGGTGTTGGGAAGGCAGCGGCTGCGCAAGGCATTGGCACCCATTGGTGCACACCTCGCTCCCTCCCGTGCTGCATTCTCACTTGAGTGGCGAACGAGGAGGCAGCAGCGGCAGTGTGGAGCGAAAAGAGGAGGAGGAGGACCGGCAGCAGGGCATGGTTGACGGGTCGCCCATGCGTGTGTGCGACCCGCGATCCCATGCTGGCTCTCGCAGAGATCAGGACTGTGTGCGCAAACGCATCTCGCTGCATGGCAAGAGCATGCAAGCCGTAACGTTCAGGAGAGGTGCACCGCCAGGCTGGCGCCGCCGCCTGCCCCCTGGCCTCCTCGTCCACACCTTTTCCAGCGCGCACCAGGCCTGTCCATCCAGAGCACAGGAACCGGGTGCATTTTGATCTGAGGCGAGTATGTTACAACACCAGATAGCGTCCTACACGTTGCGCGCAGCGGCGCGCACGCGGAAACAAGCAGTACCAGAGAGCGAATGGCCAGTGGTGACATTTGCGGGTTTAATAGTTCTTCTCATGACCACCACATCAGCCGCTGCCCCATGCATGGAGGAGTGGCCCAGCGCAGGTGCCGGGACCACCCGCTACCACGCAGGCCCGAGATCCAAGCGGGCGGGCAGGTGCGGCCTGCCACCCAGCGCCAAACGTCAGGCGCTGCGCCCACTCAGGGGCTCCAAGGGCCCATTCAAGTGTAGTAGGGCCTGCGGGGCAGCAGGAGCATGGCATGGGCCAATCAGCATGGGGCTCCAACACAGCGCCAGCGGCAGCGCCAGAGCAGCAGCAGCACCACCACAACGCACACATCCACACAACATGTTCGCCCAGACAACTACTCACAGGATCTGCGTGCAGATGTAGCTGCGAATACAGAAGGGAGGGGGGCACAGGGGCAGGCCGGGGGTCAGGAGAGACAAAACACATGCGGCGGTGAACAGCCGACCAGAAAAACACGAGAGAAATTGCCGCGCGGCACACCAGGCAGCGCGGCAGCTTCTCACCCCCAAGCCGCGCCGCTCAGGCCGCCAACCGCGAAGCCAGCGGTGAACTTGTTCCAGCCATCAGCGGACTGCAGGGGGTCGCGGGGGACGCTGCGGCCGGTCAGGGTCTTCACGCCAACCTGCGGGTGGGCAAGGGAGCCAGGGGCAAGGGGGTCAGGAAGAGGGTCAGGCTACAGGGCATGCAGCAATGCCGTGAAGTTTCGGCACACCACGGCCAATCAGCTGGGTGTAAAACACGCGCCGTGCTGCTCAACCGATGCCATCTCCACGCTGCCTCTGCCGACAACGTTGCAACGCAGCTGCGCTGGGTTTGCTGCCATGCTGCCTCCTCATGCCGTCGCTGCCCTGCCCAGCCCAGCCCCAGGCCCCCCCCCAGCCGCGCTGCTGCCCCGCTGGCAGCCAAGCCCGGGTCAGCACCTGGGGGCCCTCGCTCTGGAAGGTGACGGCGCCGTAGATGGAGAGGCAGGCGGTGAGGATGAGCACCACGGCGGCGCCGTTGACGCTGCCCACAATCTCGGCCACGCCCTCCACGTTGCGCAGGGGCCCCAGCTTGATGAAGGGGCCCACCAGCAGGAAGCCGTGCGCCAGGCCAACCTCCACGCCACGCAGCAGGGGGGGCACGCCCGTCCTGCGCCAGGCACACACGGGGCCAGCGGCTGAGGCAGGGCGGACGCAGCACGGCGACGCTGGCAGGGGGCAAGCGCTGTGCCAAAGCAGCAGCCAGCCACATGCCGCTGGCCGCCACACGGCAGCTCTGCCCGGCGCTGCGGCGCCCTCCCAGCAGCTGCAGGGTGCCCGGCTTGCCGCGCGGCGGCGGTGGGCACCTGTAGGCGGGCAGGTTGGACAGGAAGCCGGCCACCAGGGGGGAGGAGGTCACGGGGGTCTCCAGCATGCCGATGAAGGGGTCGCCGTTGACGGGCTGGATCACCTGCGCGCGAGGCGGCGACAGAGCCGCGGTAGCGGCAGCACCAAGCAGTCAGCGGCAAGCCGGGGCGCCCAGACGTGCCCGGGGGCATGCCATGCAGAGGAGTGTGGGCAGCCTGCTGCCTGCGAAAACCACACACGGCTCCCGCCGCCGCCCTCAAACCGCTGCCCATGATCCGGCCGGCCAGTTGCCATGGCGTGCTGGGCGGGCTGCCCCCATTGCTGCATAGCCGTGAACGGTCCTTCCTGACGCCGCCAGGCGACGGGTGGGAGCTCCCCAGCCTCCACCCGTGATGTGTGTGCGTTGCTCTTTCGCTATCCTCCCCCGGCTCCCCCCAGCGCCTCCCCACCTGCGCCTTGTCAGCCATCGCCCGCACAGGGGCCACCACGCGGGCGCGGCGGGCCGAGGTCAGCTGGCTGCTGCGCAGGCCCACGCAGGGCTTCGCGAGGAGGGCGGAGGCCATGGCTAGAGTCTGTGAGGCACGCAAAGGGACAGATGGGAGCACCTGCGACAGACAGAGCAAGCGGGGCGCCCTGGGCGAGCCCTTCTCCTCCTGATTTTCCTCCGACCCTGCTGAGGGTGAGGGGCTTTGTCCCAGGCCCGGCGAAATTTTCGTAAGGAAGCCTCATTGGGGCTGGCCGATAAGCTCAGTGCGACCAATGCGGGGTCTACAGCGCTGCGACGGGGTATAGGGTGGCCTGCCGCCTGCCTTGCAAGCGGCGGCACCCACCTCGCCGCCACCGCAACCCGCCCCTCTCTCTCGGTCGCTGCCCCTCTCCCATCAGGTGCAAGTGCAAAGCATCTTACACCTCTCCCCTAAACCAGCAAGCTCCCCCTCTCTCGCTCTCTCGCTCTCGCCCTCAGCCCTCCATGCCGTCTATCTGGAGCGCACCGAGGCCGAGGGCCGCAGCCGCGGCTGCGCCGCCGCCTGCTCCCCCGCCGCCTGCTCCCTCGCCTTGCCGCCGCTGCCGCTGCTGCGCTCCGGTCTCTCCGGGCTCCGCACCATGATGTAGATGTTGGGGGCATGCGGGCGCACGCTGTGCCGCAGCAGCTCGAAGAAGCCCGAGCACTTGAGGAAGGCGCGCGCGCTGTCGCAGGCGGCCTCGGCGTACATGAAGCGCTGCTGCTGGTCGGCGATGCGGCACAGCCGGTCCAGCAGCATGGAGCCCAGGCCGCAGCCGCGGAAGGCCGGCGCCGTGCCCAGCGCTGCCAGGTACAGGAAGGGGCCGTGGCTCTCCAGGAAGGCCGCCTTCTGCTTGTCCAGCGCCACCAGCGCCTCGCGCAGCGCCCTGAAGGCAGGGCGGGGCAAGGGTGGGCATGGGCTGGCGGGCCGAGGGGGGATGGCAGCTCAAGGCAGAGCGACAAGCTTGCAAGGGATGGCTGGCCAGCAGCAGCACACAGACAGCTGGCAGCCTGGCTCACCGCCACTTGCCCCACGGCACAACCTTGGCCAGCCGCAGGAGCGCGGTGTTGCGGTGCCAGTTGACCTGAGGGGCGGAGGGACAGGGCAGGCCGCTAAGCGTCCCAGCGCAGGACTTGCGCCCTCCTCCTGGCAGCCTTTGCCCCGCCACGCTTGCTGCCGCACTCACCCTGTCCTCGGGCCACTGCTGCATCACCGCCGCGGTGGTGAGGTCGCTCAAGAAGTACAGCTGGGGGCGGCTGGGAGCGGAGCTGCTGGCAAGCAGCAGGCGCAGCATCTCGTGCCAGAGGCGCGCCGCCGCCTCGCTGTTGCGTCTCGTGAGGTACAGGGCCATGCCCTCCTGGTTCAGCGCCTGCACAGCAGCAGGAAGTGGGAGGCACGAGGCGGGCAGATTGTGTGCCTGCCGGCGGCGGCGGCGGCGGCGGAAGCCTGGCGCCGCCTGCTCTGAAGACCTGCGCTGCGGGCACCACGGCTTGTCCGACACGGCCTTCAGCCCAGCCCATAGCGTACCTGGGGCAGCATCGACAGCACCTCCACCGACGAGCCATGGTCGGAGCCTCCCTGCTGAAAGGCCAGCTGGGAGGCCATGGGAACAGGTAGGAGCTGCAATGAATGCACGAGGCGCCAGATGCAGGCAACGCGTCTTCAAAACAACTGCCCGCCAGCTCAGCGCCGCCCGCCCACAGCAGCACACAGGCTGCCGCTGCACAGCCATGCCATCCCATTGTAGCGTCTGTTACTTTACAGGGAAGGAGCACATCTTGCTCGGTGGAGCACAGAGGAACAAAAGACACGTCGGTCGAGCACAGGGGAAACAAACAAAAGCTTAGGGGAGAGCAACAAAATTATGTGGAGGGGTTCGCTCTTATAAAATGGCGAGGGTGCACAACATCCAAGTCGCTAGAAGCATAGGGTCGGGAGTCGCTACGTAGCATAGGGTGAGAGAGGGGGTCTTTGATCGCAGGTTAAGCCCCGGGCGCAACAGGCCCGGGGTCGGGATTGAGGTTAAAGGGCAGGGCAGGCAGGGGCAGGCAAGTGCAAGCTCCCAAGAACCGACACGAAATGGGGTTGCAGGCGGGCAGGTTGTGACCCAGGCCTATCAACTAAATGGAGGATGCTGTGCGGGGATCCAAATGGCGGGATGAGATTGGGCCTAGCGAGGAGGATATGGACGGGTACAGATGGGGCGGGGAGGGGGGAGGGGCCAGCCACAAAAAAGCCTTGCTGTGGTGAAGCGTCAGAACGGCCATGGCGGGCGGTGGCGGGGGCAGTCGTGTAGTGCACAGATGTGATTGGAGAGCCGTGAGCGCGTGGGCATCTGGCCCGTGCACGCCGGCGGCTTGGAAAAACACACACAGGAGCGCGTGCAAGTTTGGCTTTAGCAGTGCAAGCACGGTGCGCGAGGGCGATCAATGCAAGCGGGGCGGTGCTGACAAAAAGAATCGAACAGGGGGGCAGCGCCTGCGACGGCGACGGGCCGGCGCGAGCCGGCCCGCGCGCCACGGCAGGCTGCCTGCATGGTGCAGTGGGGGAGTGGGCTGGGGAGGAAAAAAACGGAACCAAAGAATCAAAGGGCTCATCGGCGGCGGGGTAATACACCACACGTGTTGACTGGGACGCAGACTGATTGCGATGCTGTCGGAGGGGCGGGTGGGCAGGGCTGTCGGCCCCGCCAGCCAGCGCTCTGGGGAGCCCACCAAGGGGAGCAGCGGGGGTGGCGCTCCGCGGCGCTCAGCCGTGCAGCAGCTTGGCGCGGATGGCGTCGCGGTCCCAGCTGCTCAGCGTGGCAAAGGCGTGGGAGGGCTCGTGCTGGAAGTGCTCGTGCGGGCGCCCCGACAGCAGGTCGTAGGTGGCGCCGCGGATGGCGTCCTTGCTGGGGCCGCAGGGGCGGATGCCGGTCAGGTAGGCGTACGCCTCGTCCAGCTGCATGTCGGTGAACCAGTAGAGCGCGGCAATGGCCACGGCGGGGCTGCGCCCCAGGCCCGCGGTGCAGTGCACGTACACCTTGTCGCCCGCGGCGCGAGACCGCTCCAGCGCGCTCACGGCTGCGGGGGCAGGGCAGGGGAAGGGGAGGGGAGGGGGCGGGTGAGCGCGAGCAGCAGGTGGGCCGCCACACCAGGCAAGGGCAGGCAGGGCGCAGGCAGGGGCCGCAGGCGCGGCACGGCGTGGCTGGGCCAGGGCGATGCTGGCATCGGGGCTCTGGGCCGGCGCCTCACCGGTGGGCAGCGTGTCGCGCAGGGAGTGGGGCGAGAAGTCGACGGCGGGGGTGCGCACCAGGCGCATGCCGTGGTGTGCTGCGCGCTCGCTGATCTCCTTGAGGCTCACCTTCCAGTAGGCCATGTCCTTGTCCTGCGGGAGGGACGGGAGGGGCAGGAGGGGGAGGCAGGGGGTGAGGGAGGGCGCGGGGCGGGGGGAGGAGCGGGGGGGGGGGGGGCATTGCAGGGTGGGCGCCCGCGCGGCAGACGAAGCCCGGCTGGCAGGGGCACAGGCACGCGGGGAGGCATGCTGCGCTGTGTGCCGGGCAGCACGTGAAGGAGGCCCAGCAGCACACGCTGGAGGCCCAGGAGCGCCCCCAGCTGCCGGCGTGACCGGCCCACCTGCTGGAGGTTGAGGATGACGCCCACGCCCTCGGCGGCCAGCGCATCCACGTCCAGCGCGTTGCGCGGCTGGCTGCCCACAATGACGTCGGGGGCGACGTAGTGGTAGTAGAGGCCGCGGTTGAAGTCGTACTCAAAGGGATTGTCCATGTGCTTCCACCCCATCTTCTCGGCCATGTCCTGCGGCAGCGGGTACGTGTGCGGCGGGCGGCGGTCGGGGCGTGGGAGACACACCCATAGGGTTGTCCGGCTTCCGTGTCGGCGGACGCCGCCCAAAAGTCGGCTGCTGGGCCTCCCCACGGCGGGTGCGGTGCAGCAGGGGCCCAGGCGGTGCGCGGTGTCGGCATGTTCGACACGCCATGGGAAGCGGCCCGCTCCCCACCTGATTGTAGCGGTTCACCAAAGTCTCCGGCGTGCCAGGGAGCTCTAGCCGTCCCGGAGCGGCAACGGCGGTCGAGGAAGGCAGCGCGGTGGGGTGTGCGGGGTGCAGCCTCCGCTGGGCGCCAATGTGCGCCCATCTCCCGGGCCTGCTGCTCTCTCCGGGAGCGTGGTGCTGCGGCTGCGTGCTGCAGTGCACTTTGCACTGCAGGGCAAGCGTCATCGGGACGCAGAGCGGGGGCAGGAGATGCAGCAAGACAGGCAGAGGGATAGAGGGATAGCAGTGTCGTTGACGATTGGTAGGCGTGCGTGGGGAGGAGGAACGTGAAATAGTGGCCTGCAACGCGCCCCACTGCTAGATGCCCGGCTGCCTGTTTTCCAGCCACAAACCGGCGTTCCAGCGCGCCGATCTCCGATGGCCCATTTTAACGGCTTGGTGTGATCCACAGGAGCGACAGACGACCCTAGAAGCGCAAAGCCTGCAAGCTTGGGAAGAGCGTCCGGGGGCCATGGCCCCCCGTTTTGCAATCTGTGCCGCAGCTGGTTTCAATCCTGGGCTTATGTAAATGACCTCCTAGTATGTGGGGTAGCGTTCGGGAATGAGGGCGCTGCCGAGCCGGCCACCTTCCCCTCAGCCCCGCGCCGGCGGCGGAGCGGGCGCTCGCCGCACTTTGCATTCTGCCCCACGTCAATGACACAAATTGCAGCCTTCTCACCAAATCCCTCATCACAGCTCGTTGAAGACAAACACCGCGGCCGTGGTGTTGTCTGCCTCGGCCCCCCTCGCCTGCCGCACGGTGTTGTCGCCGCTGGCCAGTGCCACGCTGCGGCGGCACAGCTCCAGTGCCGCCTCCTCGGCGCTGCGCCCCTCCGCCACCACATCCGCCACCAGCTTCACCGCCGCCCCAGGGCTCAGCACCTGCAGCCATCGCAACCATCATTGGCACACTTGAGCTCCAGGCAACCTGCAGACCAAGGCAGGCAGGCAGGCAGGAGACGGGCTGGCGGGCGCACACCTCCCACACGCCGTCGGTCGCCACAATCAAGCACAGGTGCTCGGGCCTGAGCTGGTGGAACGTCACTGCGCGGCAATGGAGGGGCGGGCGGAGGTGGGGCGCAAGCCCAGGTCCCATGCCTCATCCCTTGGAACAGAGCAAGCAGCAGCCAGCAAGGCAGGCTGCCGCAGGCCACACGGGCCGGCCGCAGCCAGCAGGCAGGCACGCACCGGAGGGCGCGCTGGCCACGCCGTACTGCGCCAGCAGGCGGTGGCCCAGCGCGCGCGTCATGGCCAGCTGGAAGCCGCGCAGCCGCCCGTCGTCCACCGTCAAGTACTGCAGAAGGTGACGCGCAGGCGGGAGGCGCTGTGTTGCGTTGCAGTGCGTGTGGATTTGGGGGTGGATGCCGGTGGGGCAGCGCTGCAGGGGTGCACGCCGGTGAGAGCGCTGGGGCGATGCGCGCGGCACAGCCCACCCCGTCCTGCTCTGACACCGACACCGAGGTGCCGCACTCGCGCACCAGCCGAGCGCGCTCGCCCTCGTCGTTACCCCAGTGCCGCACCCACACTGCATGGGGAGGGGTGGCCAGGTGGGGCAGCAAGCGGGGGCAGCAGGCGGGGTGCGGCCGCCACGAGGGTGCGGGGCATGCGTCGGGTGCAAGGCGCTGGCATGCGGTTGGCTGTTGCCCCGGCAACGGCTGCGGTTGCTCCAAGAGCATGGCAGAAACAGGCAGGGAGCAGTGAACCCATCCACCCACCAATCTCGGCTTGGTAGCTGTCTTCTGCTTCCCACCCCAGCACTGCCAGGCTGTCCCCCACGCTGGCAACCACCAGCGTGGTGCCCTGCACAGTTTGGGGGCAGGTACACACTATGTGGCAGCAGCCGTGGCACTCAACAGCTCGCTCAGCAACCGCAGGCGCCAGGTGGCACCTCGTTGAGACCACAGCGTGCGGTTGCCACCCTCACACCTGCACCAGCGCCAGCGTGGCGGTGGTGCCAAACTCAAGGATGCGGCCGCCCACGCTGTTGGGGGCAAAGTAGGCCTGCGGGAGGATGGAGGCCAGGCAGGTGCAGGGGTGGGCCCTGGAAGCAGCGTGACACGGCTGGGGCTGGGCGCTGGCAAGCGAAGCGGCCCCCCTTGGCGGGGGCAGCACCATGGCTCCAGCTGTGGAGGCGGCATGGTTCCCCCGGCATTAGGCATCAGGCCGGCAGCACCTCACTTTGTCTCCGTTGTCCTGGCGGTGCAGGGTGTACCGCTGCTGCAGCCTGCAGAGGCATCAGGTGGGGTGAGCCGCTCACCCCGCTGCCCCAAATGGCGGCGCTGCCCCGCCGCCATGCCAGCCCGGCTCCCACACCTGCTGCCCAGGGGATAGATGTAGGTGGGGGGCGCATCGTCAAACACGCACAGCGCAGCAAGGTGGCCAGCCAGGAACGCCGCCCTCACCACCTGCTCCACCTCCGACCTGGACATGTCTGTGTGCAGGGGCCAGGCCAGCCCACAGGTGGCGGGGATGGCGGGGGTGCAGGGGAGAGAGGCAGCTGCTGGTGAGGCAGCCGGGGCCAGGCAGGCGGGCAGGCGGGCAGGCCGGCAGGCGCCGCACTTGCCAGCTGCCGGCGGCGCAGGTCGCTGTGCTGCAGGGCGGCGATGATGTGGCGCCCCGCCTCCCTTGCTGCCTGCTCCCCAAGCATGCCGTGGCCGTCCTGCAAAGCGGCGGCAGGAGTGGGCGGGCAGCGCAGGCTCAATTGAAGCGCTCCTGACGGTTGCTGCCAGCCTGTCGCTCGACCGCCGCCCGCTGTGGGGAGCTGCACGGCGGCAGGGCGGGCTCACCAGCACCACGGCGGCGTAGCACTGGGGCCAGCGGTGCTGGCGCAGGTGCTTGCTGTCGTGCAGCTGCTGGGCCTCGACATAGTCCTGGTTGAGGATGCCGTAGCGGCTGCCGGGCAGCGAAGCCTGCCCGTACAGCAGGTGAGCGTTGTGAAGGAAGGGCGGTTGCGGCTGCTGCTGCTGCTGTGAGGCATGGTGCTTCCCAGCCGCCGCCTGCTGCGTGGGGGCAGATGAGCTGGCTGGCGCTCCGCTGGCAAACCGGCTGGGGGCTAGGGGAGCAGCGCTCATCCCGCGGCTGCTGCGCTGCCTGGCGACCGGCCCGGCGGCTGCCGCGGGCGGCGTCGGGAGCCTGGGTGGCGGAGATCTAAGCTCTCAGCTGCTGCCCGCTCCTTGCCTCTGGCCAGCAGGATGCCCTGCTCAAAACGCTGCACCGAGGAGTGGCGCTAACAAGGGAGGCAGGGTTGATTCGCTTTGCTACCGTCTCCAGACACTCGGCATGCACCAGGGATCGATCAGGGGTGCATGCGAGGACCTGCAGCAAGCAAACAAGGGCTCCAGGAGGGGGCACGGCCATGCACGGCCTGCCTGCTGCGCTCTCTCATCTTCGGTGGCAAGGATAGGGAAGCCAACAGCCCCCCATCGCACATACCATCGTCCCACATTGGTGTTGCACGTCACAGGACCGGCGTGGCAAGCGCATGCAGTGAGGACTGTCCAGATAGCTTTATGGCACTCGCGCTGAACAGCCGCCAGCCGCCCCGGGAGCTGGGGGAGCTGGAGTTTGAGCTTGTGCAGCACGGCAGCGGGCGGCTGGTGCTGGGCGAGCTCGCGCAACCTGGCGCCCGCCGCCACCGCCGCGCCCCCTTTGCCAGCGTCAGCATGCAGTCTGGCGCCGGCACAGCCAGCAGCAGCAGCGGCGCCGCGGCCGCTGGCAAGCATGTGCCTGCCTTTGTGCTGGCCAGCGCGGTGGAGAGCACGGCGGTCAGGCTGGAGGGCGTGCCGCAGTGGCGCATCACCGCAGGCAACCTGGCTGCGGGCGCCACCGCGGGCTGCGCTGTGGAGGCGGGTGGGTGCTGCTGCGGCTGCTGCGGCGCTGCTGGCGCTGCTGCTCAATGCTCGCGTGCCACAACGGCTGCTTCCCCTGGCCCGGCCTCTCCCTCCCATGCCTCCCCCCCAATGCCCTCTCTCTCCGCTGCGCGGCCGCGCCCAGTCCTCACCCCCAGCTGGTACTGAGTGCTCGCGCATCCCCCAAA